GGCCATTTTCAGATTTATGGTAGGAATGGCGTCAATCTATCCCAGACATGGAAAGACTACCCTGAAACATATTGGAGTATGTGCTTCCTTATCATCGTATGACCTGCCTTTACTCACTTTACTAGGTGTCGCAGTCACAGATTTCCCAAACTTACTCCTTACGCTGGGACCCAACTCTACTAATTACTGGTCTAATATCACGACAGTTGTGGAGATACAAGTGAATTACCACTGCAAACTAATCGAACAAATTAAGAAGAAATCACAAAACTCACCTTGGGCCATCTATCCGAAAACCGAAATTCAGATGCGTTTCAATGATTGGCTTAGAGAGAATCGTGGGAAACCATCATTCTTATCAGACCATTGCGCGACATATCACAAGGTATGGAAGCATCCACGTTCAATTTCCCATAATCTTGAATTTTGTGACTGATTAACGTTGCTTGCAGACTCCGGCAGGCGCAACTCCCATGTATAATCATTTTCGCATCTGGACGTACTATTGGAAGATGCTTTGGCCAACATGGAATGAATTTGTGGAGCTTCGAACACCAACAATTAGCTAAGTGCATTCATAGAAGTGTTTGAGGAGACCTAAGGAAATATACGGCCTAGCGGAGCATAATAACAAGTATCTGTTTTGTACCAAACCTGCGTTATCCATGTTCATTTGAAAGAAAAGATTGTTGGTTATTAGGTGGTCATTAGCCTTCCTTAGCTTCCTGTAGTGGTGACAGCCTAACTGTCACCTACCTACAATCATAATACCATCACCTATGATCCTACAAAGATCACTTGCACTTCATGGCCAAGCAGATGAGAGATAAAGTTGATGCGCGGAGTTTGGCATTGATAGAGGTTGGGCGGACTATAGGCCGTTGTCCAACAAACGAGGAAATGTGCACATACTTAACTTGTGCCTCGCCTGAGAGCACGCGGACCAGTTCAGACCTCACTGGTTTGTCAGACCTTCAGAAATGCAGCCATCATATCCAGTAGAGTATCCAAACCGCCAACCATCTTTGCCAGATCGAAGAACCGTAGGTCTCTGTCGGTTATTTCATTGTCCAAATTGGTAACCTCGCTTGAGCGACCTTTGTCACTCGGGCCATACAGAGTGACGAGCTTTTTTTTCTCATCAAAGACGGGTAGATTATCTCTCTCAGAAATGAAAGAGATGACATCCTCAGCCATAGCTCTACCAACTGCCCAGTTCTCCCGCGTGTATTTGGGGTTATAATTACCCCACAAATATGCCGTGTCTAAGAGATGGCTCGCGCGACCTTTGTATATTCCATCCCAGGGGTTTTTTTCGTTGAAAAGACCAACGTGATACTTCCCAGGCCAGAGTTGGCTTAATTTCACTGCAGGAGCAAAGAAACTGATGTCCGTGATATAGTTGATGACTGCAGCTAATGTCTCGGCATCTGAAGCGTCAGGCTTGATTTTGTAATACTCTAGGAATTGATCACCGGCGTTGTGTCCGAGGCTAGATATCGTGAAGTTTTTGAAGAGTTGTGTAATGCCTGATTCTCGAGCGTTAAGATTGACCAAAGCAAATATAGATCCCTAGAATATGATTAGATACATTGTCAATTGGTTATCATGCATGACTGACATCAAATTGGCTTTCGATTGCAAAAACACGCTGACACCATTGCTTTCCGGGCAAATCAACTGCATCATTATCGAGATCAGCGAAGGTTTGCATAGCTGGGATCAAACCATTGTCGACGACTGGCCCAAGTGAGGCCATGGTTGGCGTGATCGTAGAAACAAAGGCCTCAACTGGCATGGTAAGCAACGCCCTCAAGCGAGCCTCTACTGTCATATTCTCCAAACCAAGGTGTCTGATAATTGCTTGGTATGTTTCCTCTGCGCTCGAGGTACTTGCTGGTCGCATCATCAAAGATGAACCGCCAAGAAGGATGGCCTGCTGGAACAAAGGGTCATTTGAGTGCATGAGGAAGTTGATTGAAGCTTGTCCCCGACTGAAGTTAGCATTATTCACTTTGAATCTATGGCTGGGTATTTACCTGCGCCTGCACTTTGTCCGACGACTGTAATTTTGCTAGGATCTCCACCAAACCCCGATATATACTTTTGGACCCATTTCAGGGCAGCTATTTGATCGAGAAGGCCTCTGTTAGAGACATACCCTGCTTCACGAAGCTCAGTTGAGGTCATGAATCCAGTGATCCCGAGTCGGTAACTTGGAGTGTCAGAAACAGGCTATCCAGGTTCACGCATACCCCAGCTGACTTACTTTATATTCACCGCAACTATGCGTTGATTCATCATGGCCGAGAGCTCGACGACTTTGCTTTGGTCATAATGAGGATACGAATTGGAGCCGAAAATGAAGCCACCCCCATGAATGTAGATCAGAACCGGCATGTTGCTCCCACCCGACAGTGGGACTGTAACGTTCAGATTCAAACCATCAAGGTCCGACATAGGAGGAGTATCGAATTTGGGAAGATGCTGCTGAATGAAGCTCATTTCCATGTCGGCGGAATTGGAAGGAGAAATGACTGGCGGACTAAACAGCGACGTTAGTGACCACTCTGAGACCATTGTGAGTGATGTGCTACCCATGCTTAGTTGCAACAATATTCTCGTTGCCACTGTATTCTATAATCGTTGCTTCTGCAAATCGATCGTTCACCGTTGCATATTTCATCCCCAAGTATTGGACCACCCCTTTCCCATATCGACCTTGAATCTTCCCGATTGAGTGATGGTGTAAAGGAGGGGGAACATTTGCACCTCCTTGTTTCTCCATGATGATGCCTACTCCAAAAATGATAAAGTAAACAGGGATGATAAAAAGGCAAAATACCGACTTGACAATATAATCGTAACCTCTACTGCAGCTCAAGCGCGATATTACGCACTTTTGCTACCTGCCCTGCTAAGTCTTCCCGTATCCTTTAGTCTAGTGCTATGGAAGACCCCCAAAAGCTCCGTACTCACTAATATCAAAAAGAAGGCGGGTAGGTACCCCAACGGCTTCGTGAACCTGGTTAGTGGGTAAGCCACAAGTGTTTCCGGAACGGACTCCGACCATGGGTCGGCTTCCGTGACCCACCCCACCGCTAACTGAGAACTAACTTGTTAATATATGTAACCCAAGTCGAAGGTACTACATGAGACTCCTGGGGTGTCATTCGCAATCACATCCAGATTTCCTTGTGAAAAGTGTTAAGATTATACCTTGAACATCTCTCATCACGGGACATTCAATTGAAATCACAGACATGAATGCTTCTGTGATCGACCCAGCTACATGGACCGAGTTTGGGATCATCGATCCTGACCTTGAAAAGGTGAGTACAGATACAAATCTAGAGGCAGAAACGAGCTGTCGATGGGCTAAATGCCTAGGAAGTTAATCCAAAATGACCCGAACCCACTCTTTGCCAAAGATACCAGCATTGCCAACATTGTAGCTACGCGCAATTCATGGATTCCTCTGTATAAAGCGGCAGCCGATCGGACACTGGCTGCGACCGATGGGACCGTATTGAGAGAAGAAATTTGGATTCCACGGCGAGATGGAAACACCATGCGAGCGTTACTTTACAAACCTGCGGGGCATTCGACGTCGAAACAAGCAATTGAGAGCAAGCCGTTGCTTGTACTTGTACATGGCGGTGGATTCTGTTTTGGATCTCCTGAGATGGAAGGTCCAAACTGTATAAGGGCAGTCCAGGCGTATAATTGCGTTGCTCTCAGCCTTAGCTATAGGCTGGCGCCCGAGCATCAATTTCCGTCCGCCACGGATGATTGCTGGGACGCATTGCAATGGGTGTGTTGCTGTACACCGTCTCATGAACGTGGTATTGACGAAATCGCAGATCTCAAAAAATGCGAGTAGCTTGGGAGCCGACCTAGCTAAGGCCTTTATTCTAGGTGGAACATCCGCTGGCGGCAATATTGCTGCTGTTTTGTCGCATCTTGCGCGAGATGCATCCCTCAGCCCACCTCTCACTGGCTTATACTTGAATGTACCCTTGCTTTTAGCACCAGAAGCAGTGCCAGACAGGTATAAACCTCTGTATCGCAGCAGGGAACAAAACGCTCTTGCACCTGTTCTCAACAAGGCATTTATGGATATGTATACTGAAGCATACGCGCCGAATGATTTCAAGTCGTACATATGGAGTCCTCTTAATTGGCCCAGCGGTCATCGTGGGTTGCCACCAACTTACTTCCAAATTTGTGGTTTGGACGTGCTCCGTGACGAAGGTTTGATCTATGAACGAATACTTCGTGAAGAGCATGGAATTCCTACGAAGATAGATGTCTATTCAGGCCTCCCTCACATGTTCGTCCCCAATTACCCTAGGCATCCCGTTTCCAAGAAATACCCAGAAGACACGCTTCAAGGTATCGGGTGGCTCTTGGGAATGTATAATAAGAAAAAGGATCATTAGCTATCACGCTGATATAGCCAGTAACATTAGGTAAAAAAAAAGTATATTGTTTAGTCGACCACTAAACTTCGCCTATCGTCTTAAATTGAGGATTGCCAATTCATGGAAATTATCTGCTATCCTGATTAGAGACCTGTTGAAGATTACTACACGTGTACGGACTTCGGAGAGTCCCCCATGGTTGACCATGCTCTTGAAAATTAGCCTGCCGCCGGAGGGTTGAGAGTCCGGGAACGATTTCCTATTCTCCGAGAGGCTCCGCACACAGCCGCTAGAAGTGATGTAAGTGACAAGCTTCACACTATTTGTTGACGATGCAGAACGTATTGTTCAAGGCCTCATGAACAACAATCTTATATCGAGTGTCTTCAAAATACCTATCACGCAATGGTGCAGAATAAAGCTCTTGTGTTTGCCAAGGTCCCTTCTTTCGCTCCCGTAGCGGGAGAACACCTACGACTCACGTCAAGTAATTTTGATATTGGGGCAACACCTCCCACTGGTGGCTTCACTGGCCAAGTTCTCTACGCATCATTTGATCCATACCTCCGCCACCGAATGGTGGCTCCAGAGAATGCGAGGGACGGGTTCGAACCATTGACAGTTGGGAGTATCATCCCGAATGCTGTAATTCTGAGAATCATACGATCTGATGTGGCCAACTTTAAGGCAGGCGACAACGTCATTGGCATGGCACCTATTCAGGAGTACGTGACAATCGAAGCTGGTCCTGCGACTCACTTTTCGAAGGTCGAGAATCCGTACAAGCTGGATCTTAAGCTCTTCCTAGGAGCTCTGGGTATGCCAGGATTGACAGCTTATTCTGCCCTGTACGAGATTGGACAGCCTAAAAGCGGCGAAACAATTTTCATATCAGCAGCAAGTGGTGCAGTTGGACAACTTGTTGGACAGCTTGCAAAGCGCGAAGGACTCAAAGTCATTGGCAGTGTTGGAAGTGATGAGAAGTTGCAAATTTTGACCAAGGTTTTCAAATTTGACGGAGGCTTCAATTATCGCAAAGGTGATATACGCAGCCAGCTCAAGCGACTTGCGCCTGACGGTATTGACAGTAAGTCGGAGACACACAGAAATTAAATTCCAGATTATCTGATGCCTTGTACAGTTTACTATGACAACGTAGGAGGGGAACAGCTCGAAGCAGCAATTTATTCATTGAAGGACTGGGGTAGAATTGGTGAGACATTTCCCAAAATCAGTCTCTTCTCTGATCGCTGACACAGTCTTGCACCCTGTAGTTGCATGTGGCTATGCATCACAATACAATATTCCACCAAAAGAACAATATGGTATTCGCAATACAGGAGAGGTTATTGGGAAACGATTGACATGGCGGGGACTGAGCGTTTTCGACAGTAATATGGCAGCCTATCACCCCAAGCTCCAGGAGAATGTTGGTCGGTGGATATCTGATGGAAGTTTTAGCGTGATTATGAGCGAAACAAAAGGGATAGATAACGCACCTCAAGGGCTGGTTGATTTGCTCGAAGGCAAAAATGTCGGCAAGTCTATTCTGAGCTTTGGTACTCTATGAAATATTCCCGTCGTCCATCTCACTCCTTGGTGGCATAAGATATAGCCATACAATGGCAATAGCCAGGTCTTTGAATATACACCTTGTTGAATCAAGACAGATGATGGTCTAGAAATAGTCCAAAGGCGGCTGCGAGCAGAATAGTTGCCAATCTACTTGCTGGTCAAAAAAGGTGCCTTCCATCGATGAGTCTGTGCAAAGCATAGTATCTCGAGCAGCTTCCGATAAGACTTCTAAGCCATTACGGTAAACTTGATCGTTGATTGCGGCCTGAGAAGATCCCTGCGCTATTGAATTGCTTGATATTGCTTCATCGGATCGGTAATTATTTTGTGCGTGGCTTGATGACTGACCCCGATTCAGACTTGATGAAACATTAGGTTCAGGTTGGTGATATTCAGAGGAATACATAATTTTCTCGGCGAAATCGGTATATAGATCGATCATAGCTTTGCAAAGATTTCGAACTTCCCCGATAGAATGATGAGACTGGGCTGCGGCCTCCAACCCCTGAGCCACATCCTGCAAGATTTTGAGGTCGAGTGCGTTGGACGTCTCGATAATGTTACTGAAGACAAAATATAGCGGTCGCAAAGGGAAAAGAGGAATTACCCTATCAATGACCTAATTTAGTCAAGTGTACTTCAATCCGATCATAACGGGTTTTACTCACCAAGCTAACGAGCTGAGATACCTATCCGGATTGGAGACACGCGACATGGCGTCTAGGAGTGATCTCAGGGTGAATAGACATTTGCGGGCATTCTCAAGACATTGGAAATGTGCTTCTGCGTCGTCAGTAGCTGTGCTTAGTCTTGTGATGGTTGTCATCATGGAAAAGAACATGAAGTCGATTGTCAGCCATTCGAATCGCAAGAACTCATCACTGGACGAATCGGATCTAGTTCGAGACTTAATGCTGTTAGCAAGAATCATCGTCTGAAGCTGAGCAACACTCACATCATTAAGCCGACTACGAATTTGTTTCATCTCATGCCTTAGATTGCCTACTCGTGCCGTGTCCATTTGATACATCTGATGAGGTGACACACAATTGCGCGTTTCTTGGATTATAACTTCCTGAACAGCGGCAAATGAGAGTAAGATACTAAGCATTGCATGCCCTGGTTCTTTTATATTCAGAACTGATGGGTCGATATCCATTGTCGTAAGACACGCTGGTTGATACATGTTGGCTGACAGAGCTGTATCGAAGATGTACGATTTGATATATGCAAGTCGCAATCCGCTTATTTCGTCGGATGATGTAAGCCCCAAATCAGCCATGGACATTTCCTTCAAAGACGCTGCAACGCGACATGCTAACGAATTCATCTTCCAGCAGCTTCTCATGTTGCCCAAATCTTGCATCAGCATAGCCTAAACCAAAATCTATGTTAGCAGTGAGTGTGTAATCTGCCGGTCATTTTCACAAGTCTTACGCTGGACTGAAACGCATAGAACAAAGATACCTCAGCTCGCACCTCAGTTTCAAGGCAATTTAACGCGCTCACAATGTTTTCGCGGTATCTTTGGCGCGAAGCCTGGAGCTGTCGACGCATTGATGGGCTCTGGGTAGAGTCAAGTGCACCTAGAAAACCATAGGCGATATGATTGACACAAATGAGATAGTGAAGCCGACGCTGCCCGTGAATAGTACAGTCTATAAGGGCAAACCCCATGTGTTCCAATAAGCAAAGAGGTATGCTTGAGAAGTGGGTTAAGCAGTAGGCTGCTGAAATGCTATTCGAACTTTCTGATACGTGCGTCAGTTGTCCGCAGGCGACAAAGCATTTTTATGTTACCTACCTCTCATCAAAAGGTAGAGAAACTCTGAAGTTGGATACATTGAGCTCTCGTAGAAATTTGGTTTATGCGGCCGTTCCCGCTCAACAGGGGATTCAGTCATGGCGACGTGTTTGGCCAACGTTATGGCTGATTCCAGAACCCTTTGGCGTTCGACATCAATTCGCTGGTTCTTTTGAGACCCAAGTCGCAGGTAGCGTTGCAAATCAAGAGATCCTAAAGCCTTATCTTGAGGACTATGGCCCTCCTCGTTGGCCCTGTTCGAAGGCCTTTTATGCCGTTCACCATCGTTATGACTCTCAACTAATGACTCGACTCCTCGCTTACGAGTCTGCTGAATGTTTGACGGCTGTTCAGCTTCAGAACCTAACCCCAACGTTCTCTCTTGTGCTGTAGAGGAGTACTGAGTAGTAGCGTCAGACAAGGAATTGGCCCTTGAGCGCCGCTGCCTGGGGGATTCAGCTCGAGGACTCGATGTTGGACGCCGAAGCGTCTCTTCTAGTCGTGACATACGTTCTAGCACCGCATCAAGCCGGTCGTTTCTAGAAAGTGTTGGTCGAGTCTGAAATCGTGTGCAAATATCTTTTCTTACCCATTTCGATTTTGAGACACCTGTCTAGGTCGGTGTCGGAGGCAGGCAACATTAGCCGTGGCGCAACCACTACAAGGGTTCCTTCTATCGCACCGCGTCTGAACATCAGCATTAGTTAGCCGAGAACAGATCAAATCACAACATGTTCGGGAGATAAAGAAACTCGCTTTCTTCACGTAGCATAAGTCGCACTAGTCATGACGAACGTCGAAATTAGCTCAGGTTTTTGAGCACTCTGGGAACATCGATCCAAGTTGTCACTTACAGCAGGCAACATTCTAGGTGGCTGGATAAAATCCATTGTGGCACGGCATGTGAGCATCAACGCCTGACCTGGTCAAGGAAGCCAATGTTTCGAGATCAAAGTTTACGGCTCAATGTCCCGGTCTCGATGATATTTTACGTCAAGTTGGGGTCTTGGAGCGCTTTCCTTATCTGACCCACACCTTATCTCTACGCTAGCATACCTACGCTGCTAGTAGCTTGGATAGGGTACTTTGAAATCGTTACTGATTGGATCGGAAAAATCACCATCCGCGAAATTGAGATGGAGGCGTCGTGAAAGAAGACAGAACTCTGGGCAGCTATCGATATTGGTAAAAGATACAATGGATTGGTTCGCCTGGTCTTCAAAACCAACGCACGCATTGGCGGGCGTTATCGAAGCAAAGCTCAGGATACAAAAAGCAGTGCGTGCTGCTTTCGGGGTCCTTGACCCTAGTCATCTCACTTCTCTAGAGAACAGTCAAAACAACGACTTGAACGATTTCGTGGATGTTTATCTGATCGGTGATGTCATCCACAAACAATTGACCCTAGGTGAGCGACGCTGGAACAAAAAGATCCCATGCTGGCTAACCCAATTTCTTACTCTCAGGGACCAAAAGTCCTGGTGAACGAGACTTCTGGAACCATTTTGTTGCACAATATAGCGCAGTGAAGTGTGTGCACACACATTATCTCTACCTTGGGGTTGATAGACACCCTCAAGCTCTAATGTCGCAAGGCTATTCCGTATCTCGCTGGGTGCCTGTGTCCGGCGCTAGGAAATCCGGGCCCCGGAATCCGCCCCACTTTAATGAGGTTTTAGTTAGATTCGCTTTTAGATGTAGCAGTCGTCCTTGTCACCGGTAGGATCACATATCGGTGTGATGGCTATCCGACTCACAAGGATCCCAATTTGAACGGTAGCGTCCTAGTGCTGGACCTGTTCAAATGGTATCATGTTCAGGCACGTCCTCTATCATTGATATCCGTGCTGCCTATTCACGTTATTAGAAACTATCAGAATGTTCTCATTCCTGCGAGCGCCTCTTCCTCCAAGGACTTATCGAGCTGAAAGCAATCCGATAATATACGAAGATGGAGCATCATCATTAGAATTCAGGGAGGCTGGCTCGGATTACCTGCTGAGGAATGTTCATCCTCCTTTCAACCCAGACAGCCCGTCAATCATGGTGCCTCCTTTCCACTATCATATAAAGCAAGCTGAACATTTCCGCATTGTGTCCGGAACGTGTCATTTGTTCAAAGATTCAGAAAAAGAGCCATGGATAACACTCTCGTCTACGAGTCCAGAAACGCCGAAGACAGCAGTAATCCCGAAAAAGATATACCACACTATCAACAATGCCTCTACCACTGAACCCTTGGTCTTAGACGTCAATCTGACTCCCGAGGAGTATGATAACGAGCAGCGCTTTTTCCGCAACTTCTTCGGCTATTTGGACGACTGCAGAAAGGCAGGGCAACAGCCAAGTCTCATTCAATTGCTAGTTTTCCTTGATAGCTCTGACACTCCACTCGGATTGACAATGCCAACAAAATGGCTGGGGATTGTGGCCAGCAGACTCTTCATGGTCGTCATTTCTTGGTGGGGAAGATGGGTTTTGGGATACAAATCATCCTACGAGGAATACTTCATCGATAAGAAGCATTCATAAGGCGCTATGCACACTTCGATTGAAGTCAGCTCGCATCCAAAAGCTATACAAGTTCTTGTATTCATACATAGACTAAATATACAATCTTGTTTCATATCGCCGTGTCTTCTGGCCACCGATCTCTCTTTCTAGACTTGCACACGAAATCGTCCCCACACAGTTGTCATTTTCATGCTTTACAATTCAAATAATTTCGTAACAC